TTGTTAGAATACTTGAGCATATTTAAATTCATATTTTGCATATTATTTGCTTGTGTTAATTTCCATTTTTTAGACTTTACTTGTGTCAAATTATATAAACTTAAGAAATTCATTTTCAAGAAAGAAAGTGAGGCATTTTATGAAAATATTTTTAAAACGTAATTCACCCCCCTCTTGAATTTGAGGTCATTTGTCTAACAAGAGGGACCACCAAAAAGTTCAATGGCCTTCGACCATTGAATTTTTTCTCCAAGCATACACCAAAGAATGCACCGACACGTTATATTTTACAAAAAAATGTTTGTTGGATATTGACACATTTCGACTTGTGGTCAACGTTTTCCAACATATTTTTTTCAAAGATCCAAATTTTATTTTATTTAATCTTTTTAACTATGTATGAAAAATTAATTTATAACTCAAATACTTTATGTTAAGGAATTTGATAGGAAAAATTAATAAGACATAAAAAGTTATTTTTGCTTTATATTTATATTATGAAATTTGAATATTTGATTAGTTATATAACTTATTATGAACTATTATGTGTATTAAATATAAATTATATTATATATATTAAAAATATTATTTAATATCAAAATATGTCCTATTGTGTCAAAATTTTAGAAATAACGTGTTGGTGTATCGTGTCATATTCCATGTCCCGTGTTGGTGCAACATAGTATACACCAGTGAAAAGCAGCTAAACAACCATTTTTCTTTCTTTCTAAATCTTGAATAATACCATCTCCAAATATTATATCAATATAATGTGTTAAGACTCCCACCTTATTTATACGAAATTAATCTCGTAAGCCCCAGTGAGACAATTATGTGATACATATTTGAAAAAAGAAATAGTCACCGTTTAATTGTGACTAATTTATTAGATGATCCAATAACAATTATGGATGTTGCAGAGAGATTTTTCTGATGGATACATCAGCGATATCCTTTTGCAAGATATAGAGTTTGGTGCTGGGTTATCTTGATTGTTAGAACTTAAAACAAATGTAAAGGGTATCTCCAAGGCACTTCAATACTTAAATAAGCATTTGATCAATGAATTTAAGTCAAGTTGGATTAGATGATTATATGAAACCTTTGCTATATAGTTATTGATCGTCCTACTTATGTTGCCTTAGTATGGCGGCATTTAACCTCACAGAGGCTGTCTCATATGCAGGATATCTATTTGTGAAGTATGCTTTATAGGTGTGTTACGAAATGTCTGCCCCTTAACTATTGACTATCAGGGTGTTGCTGAGTTCTAAGTTGTTGATATCATAGTTGTACACCTCTAGAATAACATCAACGCATAATGGACGCATTTCCTCGTTCTTTAAGTCTTGTTTGTTGGGGCTCCGGGTCATTCATAGATTAAGTCTTACATTTTGCATGGGATAGATCTAGATCACTAACGTTACAAAATTAGTTATGATTGAATTGCCTAATAAGCCTTTGGCTCTACCCACATGTTACACATGATATACACATAAAAAATAAATATGTGCGATTAGTCACACATGGAAGGCATCATGAACTTTTTTATTTGGTAACAAGGCATGGTGAACTTATTTCGCATGAATATAGTAATTAAAATATTGATTTATCACTGCGATTTTACGTTTTTATATATATATTTTTCATCAAAATATTTTTATCAATATTCCAAACACTTTTACAATTATTTTACATTATGATTTTATGTTTTATAATGTTTGGTCGCCCTTTTCATTTTACATAAAATCTCAATTTTAACTATCTTGCGCATGAATGAGGTACTGGATTTATATTGTATTAAATTGATATTATATTTAAAGATTACATGATTTATAATTTTTTAAAAAGATTATTATAAAGAGCATTTACCCAATGAAAAGCTCATGTTGCGCTAATTCAAATTTAAAAAACTCCAAAAATAAATCAGAAATGCTTGAGAATAAGTTGTTTTTGTATAATTTTTAATATATGTATATATATATATATATATATATATATATATTTTATCTTATTTTTGGTAAATTATATATATATATATATCATTTTAATTATATGGTTTATAATTAAATTTCATTTAATTGAATTTTAATTTTATAACTAAAAGTATATACATTAAATATTATAGATTAATAATTTTTTTATTATCTGAAAACACTTAAGAATTTCTTAAAATGAATTTAATGCTTATTAACCATTAAGTGAAAGGATTTGAAAAGGAAAAAAAGGAAACCATATTTAATTTTTTATTTTCAATCAACACAAGTATAAATATATATATAAATGAATAAAGTTTGAATGGAATATTATAGTATAACTTTTATTATTTTTATTTTAAAAAAGTTAAATAATAAAGAATTTATACTCCATTACTTTTTCTTTATATTATTTTATTCACACCACACTCACCCTTAATATTACTTTATGAAACTAATAAATTTCTTAACATCAATTCATCCAAATAATGAAATGAATTTTACATTTAAAAAATGCATTCAGTTATAGAACAATTTATTTCTAAACGGGATGAATATCTTTTTAAAAAAATCTTTATTACATTTGCGGCCCTGCGCATGTGATGCAACGTGTCTGAAATCCGTCAAAGGATATTTGTGAAAACTACACTTTATTATTATTATTATTATTTTGGCTGAATGGGAAAACTACAGTTTAAACTTTACATCACATTCCCCAATATGCTTACCCAATCCAATTTAACCAGTAAAACATCATGATCCATCTCTGCTCATGAATGATCTTATTTATTCATTTTTAATTTTTTGTGTAGAAATATCTTTTTGTTTTGATAAATGGCAAAAATATTTCTATTTCTCTAATTACGATTTAATTTTTTTTTATCATTCTCATTTAGAAAAGATTGGGGAGCGAGACACGAATATAAGGACAGACAAAATAATATCAATGCCCCACATCAAATCTTCTCATCGTAGGAACCAACAATGTATTATTTTGAAGAATAAAGTGTGTCTATTTTAAAGAATATAAAGTTGTGTCATTTTAAGTGAGAAAAAGATATAGATCATGATAGAAAGAGTGGATAAAAAAAAAAAAAAGGTGGGTCCCACCTCTTTATGAGAGTGAAATGACACAAGTTATGTCATTTAAAAGGACAAACACTTTTCCTTATTTTAAAACCCTTAAAATAAAGGGTAAAGTGTGTATCATTTTAAAGGAAATAAAATTATGTCATTTTAAGAGAGAGAAAGAGATAGATAAAGGAGGAAAAAGAGTTGACAAAAAAATAAAAGTGTGGGTCCCACCTCTTTATGAGAGTGGAAGAACATAAGTTGTGTAATTTAAAAGAATAAATATTTTCCCCTAAAATAAATTATATTTGAATTAATGTTCTACACACATATAAAAAAAGGGAAAAACATCTATCCATTTTTTTTTTTTTTTTTTTGTAAATAAACATCTATCCTTTTAAAGGATATAAACTTATATCATTTTAGATCCTAACCGCTGATTTCCGTCCATCTACGGTTATAATATATTGGGTCAAACTTAATGGACCAAATTTATTATTAATTAATTAATAATTTTGAACCAATAAATTATAACCGTTGATGGACGGAAATCAACGGTTAGGACCTAAAATGATATAAGCTTATATCCTTTAAAATAACAGATGTTATTCCTTATATATATATATATATATATATATATATATATATATATATATATAGTGTTTTATAAGAGTTATGTTGTAAGAAAAGATATTGTGTAATTTTATAGAGATTCGTTTTACGTGCCTTTGTTTTTTTTTTTTTTTTTTGCTTTAAAAAGTGCGGGCCCCATAAAATGTTGTGTGTGTAGAAAATTTTGGTGTGTCATGTTAAAGGACGAAACGAAAACCCATATATATATATATATATATATATATATATATATATATATATATATATATATATATAGGCAGGATCCTTTGACATCGGTGTCAAATTTAAAATTTGACACCTCATCTGAGAGCCGTTAGATCAAAAAAGATCAACGACTTTGATTTGTAAGCATGTGATACCATTGATTTTTTTTTATCTAACGACTCTCAGATGGTATGTCAAATTTGAAGTTTCACACCTCACCTGTGACACCATTGATCTTTTTTTGATCTAACGACTCTCAGGTAAGGTGTCAAACTTCAAATTTGACACTGGTGTCAAAGGATCCTACCTTATATATATATATATATATATATATATATATATATATATATATATATATATATATATAGATAGAAAAAAGACCACTTTAGATAAGGTTATCTACAACTCTACTCCTTTTTAACTAAATATGACCGGTCATACTTAGTTATAACAATAAAGCTCTTCTTTTTTTCTCTTTCTTCAGACATTGTCGGCTGATGTGGCGGAGAGAGAAAATACAATTTTAAAATATGACCGGTCATACTTAGTGAAAAAGGGTAGCTGTAGACAACCTTATGTAAAGTGGCTGCAGAAATGTTTTTCTCATATATATATATATATATATATATTTTTAGTAATGTGAGTCATTAGATACAAGTAGATCAATGGTCAAGATTCAGTGTAAAACTTAAACTTCTAAATGTTACACGAGTGTAAAATGATTCTGAAATATATATATATATATATATATATATATATATATATATATATATATATATATATATGGGATAGGATCAATTTACACCGGTGTAAGAATAATAAATCTTACACCAAATCTTAACCGTTGATTTCCGTGCATCTAACGATTGAGATTTATTGGGAATTAAAAATTAATTAATGAGTAAGACCTAATAAATCTTAACCGTTAGATGTAGAAAATCAATGGTTAAGATTTGATGTAAGACTTATTATTCTTACACCGGTGTAAGATGATCCTGTACCTATATATATATATATATTGTATATATCGGTATCTACATTATGGTGACCATGATATGACTTGTTACCTATATATATAATCAATGATATTGTCCCTCCTAAGTCATTAGCTGGAACTTGAGAGCTGTGAAGTGTGTGTGGACTTGCTCTTCTTCCCTTTGGGTATCTTTGGCCCTCAAAATTTCTGTCTGTGAATCTATCTTCAGCTTTAAAAGTTTAAAGCTTTAGATCACAACAGTTCCTTTTACACGAACTCACCGATCCGTCATTTCTCACTTTCTCTAGGCAAGGTATGTTCCCTATACTGTAATACCCATTTGACTCTACCCACTTTATAGCATTTCATTTTCTCTCTACATCATCTTCCATTCCATTTGGGGAAGTTTCTCTGAACCAATCAGATTCTTCCAATTTCCAAATATTTATTTAGCTTTCAAATCTGGACCCCCATTTTTTTTTTTTTTTTACCATTTTCTGAAATTGCCTTTTTTTTCATTATGTTTTGGTTCATCTAGCAGCTTCAATTGTTGTCATAGGCAAATCTAACAGGGAACTCAGTCTCTGAAGCTGATCCACTACCTTTGGAATTTGGAAATTGGTGTTGAATTCAGATCTAAAAGCCACAACGATGTCTTTTATTGGTACCCAGCAAAAGTGCAAGGCTTGTGAGAAAACAGTATATCCTGTTGATCAGCTTTCTGCAGATGGCACTGCTTATCATAAAGCTTGCTTCAGGTGCTCTCATTGCAAAGGAACATTAAAGGTGGTTTTTTTTTTTTTTGTTCAATTTTTTTTCTGTTTTTTAGCTGCATTATTGATTTGAGAGCATATCAATTTTGTTCTGCTCTCTGAAACTTGGGTTCTTTATTTATTTTGTTAAATTTTGGTAAAGATCCTTGCTTTTCTTTGACGCTGCTTTCCATCCTTATAAATTCATGATGGCAAAAGTACGAATTCATGATTTCATCAGAAAAAGAAAAGGGGGGTGCAAAGAATACTGAAAGTAAGGATTTTTAGTGTGTAAAAAGTTCACTTATCACTGTATTGTCATAGATCGTGTAATTTGTGTGTATGAGTTTAAACTTTTATTCGGACTATTGTTGATGATCTTTATGTTTCAGTTGAGCAACTATTCCTCAATGGAAGGTGTTCTTTACTGTAAGCCTCATTATGAGCAGCTCTTCAAGGAGACAGGCAACTTCAGCAAGAATTTCCAGTCATGTATGTCTTCTTCTTCAAGGATAAAGCTATGTTTGTGATTTTTGAATCAGATGCCTCTTTAATTGGCCATATTTTCATTTTGAACAGCTGCGAAGCTAGCTGAGAGGACAACTCCTGAGATGGTAAAAATGTTATTTTGCAGTTTCAAACTTCATACTGAATGGCTTTTTATAAATAGGTATATGGCTTTTAGTATTATTGAACAACTATTGGCATATTCTTTTTAATTTCAGACAAGGTCCCCTAGTAAAGCAGCGAGCATGTTTTCTGGGACACAAGAAAAGTGTGCTACATGTGGCAAAACTGCTTACCCATTGGAGAAGGTAGGATTCAAAAATCCCAGAAACAAATTAGTCAATAATATTCATTGTAAAGTCTGAAATATCTTTGTTACAAATTGGGTATTCAGGCCTTGAGAACAAGGATATTTGTTAGAATTCCCATCGAGATCCTGTAGGTTACTGGAGTATCCTCCTTCTCTAGCTGTATGATATGAGAGTAACCAAAACGTTTAACATCAATATGTCTTTTTGAAGGAGAACCTTGGCACAACAGTTGGTGTTGTCATCATGTGACCCGGAGGTCATAGGTTTGATTCATGTCATCAGTTTCTTGCAATTGCAATAGAAGGATGCTTGTTATAGACCCACACAATTGGGTTTTGACCCTTCCCTGGATCTTGCCTATAGCGAGAGCAGTATAGCATCAGATCCCCTTTTATGTCTTTCTGAAAGCTATGAGGGATAAGTTGAGCATAAAGAAGGTTGTTGTAAAGTGCCAGCGTGAAACCACATGTATTAGTTTGACCTTTTGCCTTAGGTTGGTACTCATGGTTTTCTGATATTAAGCTGTAAGCATTATTGCCTCCTACACCTCATAAGCTATGCTATCAAACTAATAGGGGTTTGAACTTCATTTTCAATATTTGGACCGCAAGTAGACCTTGATATGTCTTCCTTATCTTATTGTGAGATATTTATGCAGAGACGAAAAGTCGAAAACTATGTATTCATGTTTTATTTCTGTGCCTAAGATGATGGAACCTATATTCTGATTTAGTTCATAATCCTCACAAGACAAGAAAGAAAATTGGCATTTGCTTTTGAATAATTCTGAAACTTCTTCTCCCACCCACTAATAATTATAATAAATGCCTCAAAATCCTTGCTGGTAGGAACATATACCCAGTGACGTGGTTTTGCCTGGATGGTTGAAAGATGAAGTATTCCTGTTAGTATTTCCAATCTCAGGATCTAAAATACATGGTTATTAGGCAAGTAACATGGGCAACTTTGTCTTTGTGGTAATATCAACTTCTAATGTTGTTTTTCATTCTTGTATCAGTTTATTCTAATTTTTGGTCACTGGGAGGGGAGAGTTAGGCTTTACTCCCACCCGAATTCGACTACTCGGGGTAGCTCTCTAAGAAAACAGGTGTCTGATCCAAGTTAGCAAGGGCTCTTTGACCATTTATTCTAATTGAAAGCTATAAACGATTGACATTTTTTTGGTCTTTAGTAAAGGGCTGGCTCAGCTGAAATGAGATAGTATATAACCAAACTGGAGAATCTATTGGTTCCCATCTTCCAGTAAATTTATTTGTTAAAATTGCCTGAATGAGTGAATCTAAATATCTAATCACTAAATATCTGCAGTTCTGCATAGTTAACCTGCCGGAATTGGAATGGCTTAGTTTTCTTGCTTATATCTTTTAATATATCTCTTATTTTGAGTGTAGGTAACGGTGGAAGGCCAGGCCTATCACAAATCATGTTTCAAGTGTTCACATGGTGGTTGTCCCATAACCCCTTCGAATTATGCAGCCCTTGAGGGCATTTTGTATTGCAAGCACCATTTCTCTCAGCTTTTTAAGGAGAAAGGGAGCTACAATCATCTTATTAAGTCTGCATCAATCAAACGGGCAGCAGCAACCTCAGAATCTTGAAAGTTGGTGCCTTTCGATTGCTTTTTTTTTCTTTTTTCCCTCAAAAAAATATTTTGGTCTGTCAAAGCAAGTGTTTGTATGTGTGGCATTTTTTTTTAATTGTTCTATGATGACTTGATCCTATGTTATATTTACTTATATATGCGTGGCGTGCATATCTTGTGTGATTTTGTTTGTACAATGCACATTTAGTTATGACTAATGAGAGCGTGATTTGCAAGATGCATCTTTCATTGCATTTTCTTCCGGATGCTATTTTATATTTTATATCCTTAATTATATGATTTTCGAAGATTGAGAAATATTGGAGGGTTTGGGTATCTTGCCCGAAAACTACTATTTATTAGATTATTAAGGCGCGCAAATTGAACAAAAAAAAAAATTTAGAATAATTGATAGTTTTTACGTGAAGATAAGGCAATTATTAGAAAACAAAGGCTAAAAATAATTTTATATGTTACCGGAAGGGGGTGTTTGGTTCAAGTTTTTGGAGCAGATTACCGGTAGTCCTTCTTTGGTAAATGTAATTACCACGTTTGGTAGAAGGAATAAATTACGATTCCCGGATATCCAAGGATTACCGGTAATTTGATTTATAAAGAAAAGTCACTATTTAGATTACCAAAAATAATATGGTAATTCGGAATACCAATCAGAATACCAAGTAAAGGGAAAGCACAACAATAAATTTTGAGACAAAAATATTCCAATACACATAAAAATCTAGACCCAATCTATCAATTACAAAAATAAAAATTGTTTGGGGTTATTTTTGTAAAATAACCTCATATTCCAAGTCATATTTCGTTCTAAACCAAATATGGAATAAGTAATTTTTACCTAATATTTCCGGTAATATTTTGGCGAACCAAACACATCTTTCGTAAGATTCCAAGTAAACTCAATTTCTACTGAATTTTCATTAATCATGATTCCCGGTCGCCAAAAAATTTCTCTTGTACCAAACACACCCGAAGGGTAATTTTGACGACAGGACAAAAGTGACTATAACGAATAAGAGGACCTTGTTTTATTAAGCACTTTCAGATTGACAGTAACGCATTCCCCCGACTTCAAAGTTCAAACAAACTGATTCAAATAGTGGTCGACGGTGATGTATTTCACCTCAGGGTTGCAGAAGCTTCCACACCGTAAGAAGGGTCAATCTCATATTTTGCATAATCACCCTTTACTAACATTGAGTGGCTTAACTTGAATATCAACCTATGAGGTGTAAGCAGCAATGTCCTGGAATTATTAACATATACTCTTGAAACAAATAGTTGAATTATATACATGGATTAATGTTTTTCATAAGAGATAATTTTATTTTCTACACACAAAAAATTATGTGAGGCCATGTAAAAAAAAATGACCTCACATACTTTTACTTACATATGTATAATAGATAAAATTATTTCTTATAACGTCGTAATATCATAAGAAACATTAATCTTTTATATTATTATTATTTAAGGAAAAACTTTTGGTTATTAAGTTGTTACCTTTGACATTTCCATCTTCTAGAATGACTACCTTGTCCCGAGGAGGTGCTATGACATTTGGCTGCCCCAGATTTCGTAAGAAGAAACTAGCAAAGGCATTGCTATAAACATAAGGGTGAGGAGTTTTTCATTGAAAAAACTAGTAGATACTACGAAGGAGCGATGAATAGGCAAATTAACCCAAAACCTTATTCTCTCATAGCACATATATGAATTTATCTCTCATACTTGAACTGCCACAGAATAAAGCATGTGAAATATGCTAGAAATAATTCAAGTTCACTATTTTTAAAGAAATAAAACTTAATCTTTAAATTTAACTCTTTAAAATAAGAGAGCCAAAATTAAGGGTATTACTAATTAATTAATAAATTTAAACCCAATAAATTTTAACCGTTGAATGACGGAAATTAACAATTACATAAAATGACACAAAATTATATTTTTAAACAAAAACATTTTTCTCATTTGATTATGTTTTGATTTTTTGTTTTGTAGAATAATTATGGAATAGATATTTTCTATATTTCTTTTTTTTTTATTTTGAAAATTAAAAGTCAAAATATAAAATAAAACAACATGTTTTCTAAATTTAATTCTAAAAATAAAAAATAAATAATTTTTAAAAATATTTTACAAAATAAATTTTGTCAAACGAGTTTTTTTTTATTTTGAAAACCAAAAACTGTGTTTAGAAAGTAACATTTTTTCCCGGCCAATAGTTTCAGCCCCTCCTCCTACCAATTTTTTAAAATCGTCCAGTACGGTGTCGTTTTTGGAAAGTCGGAAAGTCCTTGCCGGCGGTGTAAGCAGCGGAACCCTAATCAGTAGCAAATGTCGGAATCATCATCATCATCATCTTCCACGCTCCGGGACCTTCTCCTTCGGTCAGATACCTCTCTCTCTCTTTTTCTGTCAATTATTGCATTGTCAATTTTCGTTCCTCACAGTGGAATTTCAATTTCTCTTTGATTGTTTTCTTTTAGGTTATCGAACCCAATCGCAGAGTCTCTGGCGAGCATCCCCTACACTCCACACGAAAGCTCCAACGTCTCCGTCAAAGCCTTTCTGGAACCCCTTCTCCCAACAAGAGATTCCATTTCTACCATCCAAGCTTCCATCAAAGATTTCGCTCTAGCGTGTGCTCTTCTATCCTCTTCCACCTTCGACTATTCGGGCCTTCTCTCCTGGATTCCCAATCACCTTTCTTCCCTCGCTACCTCTTCCTTTTATGAGCTGTCCCAAGCGTATCTCGCTGTCTTCGACGACAGTAACTCCCATAGGGTTTCCGAATTGGGTTTGAATTGTGACCTTGTTCCTCCACAGAAGAGGTTATTGCTGGAATTGATGCCTCAGGTTTTACCTTTTCTCAAAGAGAGGATTAAGGAAAGCTCCATTGATAAGTCTGATGAGAGTGACGAATTCTCCGCCGCATCCGCCAGAGTCCCTGTTGGGTTTGCGATTCTCGCTGCTTATCAGTTTAGATGGTTTGTTACCCAGGTATTAGTTTCGTAGGGATTTGATAATTTGATTCTTATTTAGAAAAAAAAATTATTATTTTTTCCTTAATCTGTTCTTTCCTTTGTATGGGTATCTAGATGTTAGATAGTTTGAAATTTTGGCTAAGTAATTTGTCCATACTGAGACATTGAGATGTTGAGATTTGAATTGGTTTTATCATAGGTTGATTATCCTCATTTGGGCAAGTTGTGTGGATTGGTGATTCCTTGTGCACTGACTGCTGTCGATCATTGGTCGCCGGAGGTGAAGGTATGTTCTGTAATTGTAACTGAAACATGAAGCTGGGCAGGGACGGAACTAGGCTTATGGAAATAGTGTTTGATTTGAGAGTGTAGTGTAACTTGAGAAATTTTAAATGTATGATGGTAGGGACTGGATCTGAAAATAGTTCAGTCAGTGGTAACTCTTTTCTCTTGTGCAATTTCAGCGACAGGGCATGATTAGTTTTACGCATATTGGAAAAAATGTGGATGCTGCCGAGGCTGGTTTGTATGAGGATGTGATTCTTGATGCCTGCTGCCAGAATACTGCTGCTAGTGATGAGATATGGGACCATGTGGTTGAGACATCAGTAGTTCTCGTGACTCTTACTCAGAGAAGTAATCCACGTAGTCCATGGTATGTTAATCTATTTCCATCCACTGTTCTTTCACTTTAAAAAATTATAGCTCCATAGGAATTTTTTAACATCTTCACATGTTAAATACCATATGGAATTCTGGCATTGGAATGATTAGCTAACTGAATAAGCAGGAAAATGGGTATCATTAACCTTGAATTCATACATCTTTGTGCAGTCAAAAAAGGCATTTGGTTTTTGATTGTTGTCTGGATGAAACTTAAAGCATAGTTTTCAGAAATATGTTATATTGTAGGGAGAGTAACAAATGACACAACTCTTTTTTTCTTTTGTACTTTTCAAGATAGCTGAGAAAGTTTTGCCTTGTAATGGATCAAGGGTGCATAATTTTTCTAAAATTGTTGCTACCAACCGTTACTATGTTTAATCTCATCAAGTTGATTGAGTCAATAGGTATACTGCTATGGGGCAGATTTGAACATTACTTGTCAAGTGAAGAATATTATTTACCACTTGAGAGAGTGTTATTTAGTTTGGACGAGGTTGTATAACCTTCCCCATAAGCCATAATCATGTAAGTCAGAAAGTGTTCCTCAATATCTCAAGTTTTGAAAGAATAGGCTATCATTTTAACTTTTAGCTCTTTGAGCATATTGCATATATGCTTTTTAATTGGCCAATGGTGAGGCGTTAATGCGACTAAATTTCGGCTTATCTTCCATCTTGACTTCAATCTATCATTGCCTTGAGTAGGTTTGACAGGATGTTAAATGAGATGTTAAGTCACTTGGAGCGCCAGCCCAGAAACAAGGAGCGCCGCATTGCATGGCTTAAATCTGTCGATTCACTATTTAATGGAGTTGGTCTTATGCTTTTAGCTCACTTCAGGCGTATTTTCCCATTATTTTTTCAGTGGATGCACGCTGATGATGATGATACTATTATTTTGGTGAGTATCTTTATATATCTGGCAAAGTTTTAAAACATCAACAGATTACGACTTTGAAGTTTGGAGAACACTTATTAAAGTTTGTCGTATAATTTCGAATACACTTTATTTTCAAGTACTGAACTAAAATCATTGGCTTTAACTTGCAATGGTGTAATAGATCTACTTTCAAAATAATCGCAATTGTTTTAACTCAGCTGAGGTTTCAGCATTGGCTTTCCTTTTTCTTTATACGGCTTTAAAATTGTTGAAAATACATGCAATTTTGTTCTTTTAGTATTTGGTAAAAAACAATAATTTCTGATTAACTCTTTGATATATATTGTTATTCTGCAGGTTCTGAAACGTACTTATTTAGTTTTGAGACTGACGTGGATTAGGAACTCACCATATGTTGCAAGGTTAGTTAAAAAAAATTACTCTATGAAATTCTTACTTCAGATAGTGTGTTATTGAAGTGCTTGAGAAACGGGGCATCACTTCTTGATTAACTTTGGTAGCACTTGAGCATATCTCCTTTACTTTTGTGAATGAACATGATTGTATTATTATATATTTTTTTTAAAAAAAAGACTACAATTTTACTTTTAAGTAATTATCTCTTGTATTGTAAGTATTTTAATGACTTAATCTCATGATGAATTTTTTTTCCCATTGCTATGACATGAAGTCTGTAAATTTCCTTTCAGCTTAAGATTTTTAAAAAAAGCAGGGGGTAAAAAAGATTAGAAGAATGTGGATATGACTTACAGATATTCCTGTTTGATGTTTATTCCATTGAGGAATGATATTTGTACTCGTATTTTTCAATGGTACTCATATTTCTGCACCCCTTTTCATCAAAGCCCATTTTTTGGAGAATACTGAAGTTAGAAATTAATCGTGCTTTCCCACTTATGCAGCTGAATCCTTGCTATTTGGATATTAACATTTCTTCATATCTTATCCCTGTTTTTTGCCTTGTTGATCTAATTCCTTTGGAGCACATGATTCGACTTCAGATTGGTAGATAAACTTGCTCTCGTTTATAAGGAGGCAGCATTAAGAACAGCTCGGGAAGAGATTAGAGCAAATATATGTCAGATACTGATCCTACTTCAAGAGTAAGACTTTATTTTTGGAAAAATTTCAACAAATAATATATGCATTCCCTCATTTAGTCAATATCCTTCTTGTGTACCTAGAAGCAAAGGCCTGCATTTTAATGCAGCATGGGACAAGCATCGATCCGATCCAAACTTAACCACTCTTAGTCTGTCATTGAGTGGAAGAAGAGACAATACCATCCGTGATATCGGGTCTTCAGAGAGTTGTCGTCATCAGGGTTCAATACCCGTTCAAACATGATAAGTTGGCATACATTTATGATTATTTCAGTGCTTGTCATGGTTATCACAATTTTAGTTCATTTAGGTACATGTAATTAACAAGTAGAAATCTTGGTTATCTGAGCATGAATAACGAATTAAAGCTTGATTTTGTTTTGTTTCATATTTTTTGTGAGTTTATTTGTTATTATTCTCTAGTTAAAAATTGTGAATAACTCAGAAATCACACTAAAGAAATTCAACTATGGGCAAAAATATGAATTTTATCATTAATAAACAAATGTAAGTAGTGTTCATAATAGATGAGTAGATAATCCAATTTTACAACTCTTTCCTCAAAATAAATGACAAAAACATATTTAATCAATCATCCCAACTTAGGTGAAGTAGAGAATTATTGCAACTTCTGTACTGTGAGCTATTTCTGCATTTCAATACAATGAGGAACCCGTTGAATGAGGCTTTACGTGTGTGGGGGAAAAAATTGTATGTAGTCAGATAACTCCAGATTCTGATTAACTAGCATGCTAAACAAATGTCTTACGGAATCGTGAGGTTGTCTGTGCAGTATCGAAATCAAAATATTGCAAGTTCAATGCGACTTCCCAAGATCACTTGCTTCGCTTTTTGGCTTCACTGTAAAGTACCACTCCTGAGACTGTGAGCGTGTAACCAAGCATTCCAGTGACAGACACTGGGTTTTTAAAAATTAGAATTGAAACTACTACAGCCACAGCCCCTTTAGCATTCCCTAGTACCTGTATGAACCAACTCTTAGATTAATTGAAGTAATTGAAGTATCACTTTAAGCAAAATGAGCACAAATTAGCAAAAAAATAATAATCAAGAAATCAGTGATCAAATATCGGACTGCAAGAAAAATGCACGTCTTCCCACAAATCCATCTACTTATATCATATCATTTGAATCACACTCCTTTCGTTAATCCAAAGGCATCCGGTGATATACACACCCTATGACGATAAAAATAAATAAAATCAAAGAAAAAATTGAAATTGGTGTTGGATTTCATTTTTAAATCTACGTTTCCATGGCAAATACCCTAAACACTAATTTGTATAATTTTTGTAAATTTACAAGTACATTAAACACCCTAAGGTATATATATACACCAATTCATAGCAAATTTAATCAAGGATTTACGGACCTTAAGGTATCAAATAAGATCATAACTAAATGGGCGTTCAGCAAATTAGGTCAACACAGTTATAACATGTCAGCCAACCAAGGGGAAAATAATAAGTAAAAATAATTAATAACTAAAACTGCTATCAAGTAACTTGAACACTGCTAGCAACAAACTTGAATAATTGAACCTAGACAGGATTTCAGTTAAACAATTCAACCACATTAGTTCAGGATTTCAGTTAAACAATTCAACCACATTAGTTTTAGATGCTTATGAACTATCAATAGCAATGTTTGAAACTACTAGCCTTGCACTAGTTTTAATGATCATGCAGAAAATTTTCTGTGGCACCTCCTGAATTAATTCTGCAAGAACTATTTATGAAATCTCTGATAATCACAGAATCTAAATTCTCCCCTTAATTAGAAACTGAGAAAACTTTGTATATGAATTTTGAGAAACTAGATTACATATTATTAGGCAATGTAAAAAATTCAAATGACCTCGGGTAATTTGTTTTCAAAAAATTTCATCCTCAAATAAAAAAAGAATAGTAAGGGAACAGGATATTCTACAACCACAGACAAATGACTGAACCGATGCACATTGCAAAAGAATTAACAAAAAATAATGGTGACCAAGACTATGCTGATACATCTCTTGTGATTTGATAAATGAACTCATTTGACAAGACAACCACCCAAATCTGATGTCCCAACTACCAACAGAAGAGACAACAGATAGTTTGTTGGAGTGAAAATTAAATTTAAAAAAAGAAAGAGAGACAAATGCCAATTTGAATAATTGGGGACTTACCTGAAGGGTCAGAGCACTGGTATGTTTCGTGACCAAAAAATTGGTCAGGTTGACAAAATACGCAAGCGCCGAATTAAACAGCAGATACCAAATTATCTTGGAATCATCTCTTGCAAGAGCCAACGTGATGCCAACCACGTTTTCTTCCATTAAAAGTGTGGCAGGAAGAAGGAAAACCACAGCCATTGGAGCCATGTAAAGGAGAAGGTTCATAGAATTCAGCTTCTCTCTGATAAATTAATGATGTCAATACCCATTTGATAATATATCTTGAAAACAAAGTAGAGAGATAAATTAATGATTAATAACTTAATCTGGAGTTCCGAAATCCTTACCCTTCAGAAGAAAGTAAAATTCCTTGAAGCACTGATTTCAGGGCCCTTGCAGCTGTAGCCGCAACACATATTATGAATCCAAATAAATGGAAACTCGGTTCACCCTACGAACAAATAGAGGAAGAAGAAACACATATCAGAAGCCAGAGCATTTTTCTTTCTTTTTTCACCAATCAATTTCACTCGAAGAGCAATTCTTCCTGTTGCTTTTACCGAATTTCCCTCTTGTAATTAATGTGTGGACAACTAATGTGGCATTTATAAGGCCTTGGACACTCTCACCCTTTGAGCTACCTTTTGAGGTGGTGACCTTAAGGTTCTTAACAGAATACATCAGAGAATGGTACACAAGTCTACTGAACACAAAGAATGGTACACAAGATGAACTAAACAAGTTTCTATTTTTCTAATTGGACAAAGTTTCATTTCATGCGGGCATCTGAAATCACATCTGAAACAAAACAAAACTAGATAAATTTCGATGATTATACGAGGGAACTATAACTAACAAACAATTAAGCATTAGAAAGTCAAAATCCAAAAATACTTCCTATATATTGTCATATCCATTAACAAAGCAGAAGAGCATTCATTTTCCATCAACAAAAGCAACACAACCCAAATGACATCAACAGCAATTAAAAATTGAAACAAAACTACACAACAGAAATTGAAAAAAAGAAAAGAAAGAAAGAAGAAGAAAACAACAAGTGTCTTATGTTACTTACCCCACTGGCAATGACAACCCCAGTAACAACAGGAACAAGGGTGAGATAAGTGAGCCAAGCCTCTCTCTTGAAGGTCATAAGGTAAGCAAAAACGGCAGTGAAGAAGGGCGTTGTGGCTCCAATGGCTTGGTTAAACGACACAGGGAGGAAACGAAGCGAGATGTTCCCAAAGACTACGGAGACACAGAATATGAGGCTGAGAGCAGAGATCTTGAAGAACTGAACCCGAGATCGAATGGTTTGCATTGGCACCACCTTCATCCATGCTATGGCAACGTAACTGAGCAATGAACACGCTGTCATGTGGCACATGGTGAGAAAGATCGGGTACTTGAACCCATAGTTGCTGAGCAAGTACTTGTTCAGCAGCAGCACCCCAATGTTGGAGGAGTACCACGAAGCCACAAGCCCAATCGTAGAAAAACGACTCGAACCCTTCATTCTTTGACTTGTTGTTTCTTCAATTTGATCTTGGGAACCCTGTGATTTTCAGAGGAAGATTATTGGGTTAAGTTGATCTGATACGGTTAGGGATCTGGGCATTGGCGTAAGCTATGGATGGACAAAGAGAAAAAGGGATTAACTTTGAATTAATAAAATAAAAAATAAAAAATAAAAAATAAAGGGATTGACTTTTAAGAGGACAAGCCATGGATCTGTGAATCCATGGCTTTCAAGTTCGGAGAAATTAAGGAAGGGAAAGGTACCGAAGGAGAAGAGGAGAGTGGTGGGTTTAACGTTTGAGGAAGAAAAGGGGTCGTGTTTTTTTTTTTTTTGTCGAGGATGACAGACCAGAAAATGTGCGTGGTATGTGTCTGTCAACCTCTCTGCAATGAAATGGAAGAGAGACAGGTAAACAGTAAAGAAAGGGAACATTTAAAGCTGCAAAGCAGAGGAGGTATCTATTATTATTCCATTTCCCTGCATTTTTTGTTTTATTTTTCTAAAAAAATATAAATGAAGGCATTTACAGTTGCATTTACTGGTTTCGTATGTAATTATGATATGATGTATGTTACAAGAAAAGTGTAAAGAGTAAGAGTTAAATTTGGTTGGATATTAGTTGACAGTAATATAACTGTTTCTTTGTAATTTACTTATCACAGTCGGGGTAAAAAATAATCAAATTTCTTCTATTTAAATAATGAGATAGATTATTTTACCTATTATTTTTTTGTCTATCACTCTCCAACATTGTTGGATCAGAATATCGAAAAGAGAGAGAAAGATAAAAATTAGTTAAAAATTAGTTAAGATTATGATCTAATGATGTTTTAGAGTGATAGACATAAATAGACAGAAAAAATAATAAGTAAAATAACATATCTTTTAAATAATAGACACCACTTATTGTATAGTCAACTGCTTTGATGGAAAGTTATAACAGGTTCTCCATGATCTTTTTATATGAACTATGAAGATTACAATAACAAGAGTAGGTGATACGAAATGAAAAGATGGAAGAATCAAACAAAAATATATTTTGTAAATAGAAAAGTATAATTTAGTGAGAATCAAATCAAGGAAGAGAATCGTGTTTGCATACTTGAATAAGAGAAAGAGTGTATGATTCATGATCCACCCACGATTTTGGAACAATTGGACCGGTGAAGCGTGCGTGACGAGTGGCATACAAGTACAGAATTAGTCCAACTTAGGTGTCAAATTGGACTATAGCATATTATTTTTGAACGCAACGTGGTTACATTACAAGGTTACGTACTTTGGTTATCAACAAGGAGGTGCCAGGAAACGCCGGCTTATTTGTTTTTCAACATTTTGTTTTCCTTTGTGAAAATAAGGAGAAAAATTTTAACCACCGTATTCAGTGGTCTCTTCTATTAAAAAAAGAGAATTGTTTTTTTAAGTTTAACAAAAAAAAAAAAATTAGTAAAAGTGATCATCGAGTTCGGTGATCCCGAAAATGCATTGAATATTTTTTCGAAAATAAAATATGCAACTCACAAAGAGTCTGCACAAAAACTGGATCACGAAGAAAAACCATGCTTGAATTTTGTGTGGTCTAAAGTCTTAACCAATTTTGACGTGGGAACCTAATACTTTCAACTTATTTTGGTTTTGGGGGGAGCTAAAGACTCATACATGTCAAACCCCACCAGCAAAGATTGAAAAATCTAAGGCCTTTTTGTACCTTTGGCCAAAGATAAATTCCTTGTTCTCTGGAGCCAGAAGAAGAATTTTCTGACTGGAGGTTAATTCTACTTGAATCTGCTGGTTGCTAAGATGTATATATATGGTAAACTTCATTCTGATAAAGGTAAGCTACAAGGAAATTTAGACGACTTTAGTGAGATTCTAATGAGATCGGTAATTAGACAAAAAAATTGGAGGGTAGGGGGTGCTTTATTGTTTTCGGATCCTCCTCTATTCAAAAAGAAGCCTTGTTGTTTTGTAAGCTCATTTATATGCTATGCTTGATGCAAATGAATGTGTTTTCCTAAAAATGCCTTGTATAAACAACTTCACTGTCGATGTTTCCATGTGGAACACAAATGTATTTGGAAACATTCTTCACAAAAAGAAACGTGTCCTCGCTGGATTAATAGGTGACAGTGCTAAAATTCTCTATGAAGCCCATGGAGTTCCTTCATAGATTTCAGAAGTCATGCAACATACTCTTCGATTCGATCGATCCTTGAGTAGGAAGAGAAATTTTACGGGTAGATGTCTAGGATTGACTGGGTGCAGGGCGGGGACCAAGGGTGAAAATGGATGCAAAATGTTAGGACTTTTATATAGCCTTAGTAGGATAAGATTCACTTGAAAAAAAAAAGGTATTCTAATATATTATATATTATAGAATTGTAAATAATCTGTACAAAGGGTTCTCTATTTATAGAGAATATTTGACCTACTTTTAACCTAATGGGCTTGGCTCAATACAACAAAGGGATTAGCCCAATACAACAATAAATGACTAAATAAAAACTAAATAATAACTAAATCAATATTATTTACAACACTCCCCCTCAAGCTGAGGAATATATATTTATCATTCCTAGCTTGCTAGTAAGTTCTTGAAATCTGTCTGAAGGAAGCCCCTTTGTTAATAGATCAGCCAATTGACGCCCAGTGGGAATGTATGGAGTGGTAATCAACCCGCTATCAAGTTTCTCTTTGATGAAATGGCGGTCAACCTCAATATGTTTAGTCCGATCATGTTGAACTGGATTATGAGCTATACAAATAGCGGACTTATTATCACATAGCAGCTTCATAGGTCCCTCACATTTTATTTTGAGATCATCAAGAACAATTTTCAGCCACAGTAACTCACAAATGCCTTGAGCCATAGCTCGAAATTCAGCTTCTGCACTTGATCTGGCAACCACATCTTGTTTCTTACTTCTCCATGTCACCAAGTTACCGCAAAAAAACATGCAATAACCAGTGGTAGAACGACGGTCAGTCACGGATCCAGCATAATCAGCATCTGTGTAGACTTCTAAAGATAGATTGCCATCACGTCGGAATAACAATCCTTTACCAGGAGTACCTTTAAGATATTGAAGAATTCTCTCTACTGCCTGCATGTGTTTTTCTTTTGGATCGTGCATAAACTGACTGACAACACTAACAACATAAGCTAGGTCTGGTCTAGTATGGGCCAGATATATCAATTTCCCAACTAGCCGTTGATATTGTCCTTTATCAACTGGAGGACTCTCTTCTTCATAGCCCATCTTGTGATTCTGCTCAATAGGAGTAATAGAGGGTTTACACTCGAGCTTTCCTGCTTCTTTGAGAAGATCAAGAACATATTTCCTCTGGCTGATAAAAATTCCTTTGCTTGAATGAGCTACTTCTATCCCTAGGAAATATCTCAGTTTCCCAAGGTCTTTGATTTCAAACTCAGAGGCAAGCCGTGTTTGCAGAATCTGTCTCTCCACAAAATCATCACCTGTGATAATAATATCATCAACATATACAAGGAGCACAGTAAGCTTCCCATTTTGGGAGTGCTTGAAGAAAAGAGTGTGATCTCCTTGGCTCTGTCTGTATCCTAAGGTCATCATAACCTTAGTAAATCTTCCAAACCAAGCACGAGGTGACTGCTTCAATCCATACAAGGCCTTTTTTAATCTACAAACTTTATTTTCCCCCTTCACAGAATCAAAACCAGGCGAGATTTCCATGTAGACTTCTTCTTCTAACTCACCATTGAGGAAAACATTTTTCACATCAAATTGATTTATATCCCAATTGTAATGGGCAGCAAGGGATAACAAGATTCTCACTGTATTCATCTTTGCAACTGGAGCAAAGGTTTCTTCATAATCAATGCCATAGGTTTGAGTGTAACCTTTGGCCACTAATCGAGCCTTATATCTCTCAAGAGTGCCATCAGAATTATATTTCAGGGCATAAACTCATCTGCACCCTACTGCTTTCTTTCCGTTGGGTCTATCAATAACCTCCCATGTTTTATTTTTTTCCAAAGCATTCATCTCCTCTTGCATGGCTTGAGCCCAATTCCTATCTTTCAAGGCTTCATGTACTGATTTTGGGATTGCAATAGAATCTAGTGCTGAAACAAAGCTTTTGTGCTGCACAGAAAGATTAGCAGAGGAAACAAAGTGGGAGATAGGGTATTGAGTACAAGAGGGACAGGAGGAACAAGTTTTCTTGTGACAAGATCTTTTTCCTTTTCTAAGAGCAATAGGTAAGTCATCAGAAGTAGAAGCAATGGGTAAGTTTTTAGAGATATCAGAAGAAATAGACAAATCATGAGAGGAAATAATATTAGAATCAGAAACAGGAGATTCAGGAGACTCAGAAGAAATAGGAGATTCAGGACTTACCAGTGGTTCAGACGATTGAGGTTGCTGGTGAGACAGTATGGGTTGTATCTCAGGTGTATTTGAAGGTTCTGACACACCAGGAGCAGACACACTAGGAAGAGAGAAGATTGATCCAGACTCAAAGAAGGAAGGGGACGAGTCTTCTGAAGAACTATTCTCCCCCTGACGATGAGGACCCAGGAAATAAGATTCAGATTCTTGAAAGGTGACATCCATAGAAACAAAAAATTTCCGAGTTGGTGGATGATAACACTTGTACCCTTTTTTATAAGGGTTATAACCAAGGAAGACACACTTAAGAGCCCTAGGATCCAACTTACTCCGATGTTGTTTATGAACATGGACAAAGGCAACACATCCAAACACTCTTGGTGGAAGGCTCTGCAATATGGGAACAGAAGGAAAGAAGGAAGTCATGGAATGAATAGGACGGATATTGTTAAGGACCCGTGAAGGTAAACGGTTGATCAAAAAAGTTGCAGCTAATACTGCTTCTCCCCAATAAGAACTAGGAACAGATGTCTGAAAAAGTAGTGCTCTAGCAACTTCAAGAAGGTGACGATTTTTCCTTTCAGCAACCCCGTTTTGTTGAGGGGTATCAACACATGTGAGCTCATGAATCATACCTCTGTCTGAAATGAATTGTGACAGGCGTTGATTGACGTACTCAGTACCATTATCAGATCTGAGTCTTTTAATACCCTTACCAAACTGAGTCTCAACCATGTGATGAAACCGAATAAATATCTCTGGTACTTCAGACTTGTCTTTCATCAAGTATATCCATGTTATCCGAGTACAATCGTCAATAAAAGAAACAAACCACCTAGCACCTGAAACACTGTGCACTTTAGAAGGGCCCCAAACATCAGAATGGATAAGAGAAAAAGGTTCCCTGCTTTTAATAGTGCTAGAAGGAAATTACACTCGATGGTGCTTTGCAAATTCACAAACATCACAATGAAAGGTCTCAACCGACTTATTGAGAAACAGAGAGGGGAACATAGACTTCAAAAGACTAAATGGTGGATGCCCGAGACGCTTGTGATGGAGCCAAATCATAGACTCTGCAGTAGAAGGATGACGTGTCATTAATAACTGATTTTTTCTAGCATGGTCTGGAAGGAGATGATACAACCCATCCTGTTCATTAGCAACTCCAATTGTCTTCTTCGTGGTAAGATCCTGAATAAGACAATGAGAAGAAAAAAATGTGATAGAACAATTCAAATCAGTTGTAAGTTTTTGAGTGGAGATAAGATTAGTAGAAAGCTGAGGAACATAAAGAACATTTTTAAGAAACAAGGAAGGTTGAATTTGAATGTTACCAGAACCAATAACTGATTTATGGGATCCATCAGCTATGGATATAGTATGACTACCAACAGTAGGATGATAAGAACAAAACAACTTAGTACGACAAGCCATATGATCAGTTGCACCAGAATCCAAAATCCATGAGGTTTTAAAATCAGTGCAAGAAGCAAGAAGAGATATAGAACGTGTGCTCTTACCAGATAAGATCGAAGAACTATCATGCTCGGCCATTCTTTAACAAAAAAAAAGTTAACAACCAGCGATAAAATCAACCAAACAGAATATCAAATGACCTCTGATCAGAAAAATAATTACAGATCCAGACAGAAGACAAGAAGACGAGAAGAATGGTGGTGGTCTAGTCCAAAAACACGGCCGCACGCGCCTCCACGCCCCGGAGAAAGGAGATGCGCGTGGGATTCACTCGCCGGGAAAGGGGCGGCGCGTGAGAGCGCGTGGATGGGCTTCGCCGGTTGAGATTTTTCTGGTGTGGTCGTCCGGTGAGCGCGCACCTGTCTGTGGGTGGTCGCGGTTGAAAAGTCGCCGGAAAGTGGTCCAAACGGTGAAGACAAATCTGATTGGAGGCGGTCGGAGGTGTTTCGGTCGTTTGTGGCGGAGGAACACTGCGTAGAATGATAGATCGGAGGAAAAATAAGGTCAACAATGGTTCCCTTGGTCCAAAAAGTCCCCGGAAAAATTTTCCGGTGGCGGCTAATGGCGGCAAGAGGCAAAGAAATTAGGGTTTTGTTAAAAAGAAGATAATATGTGCGGAAGCAAAGCCCTCAGATCGAGAGCTCTGATACCAACTTGAAAAAAAAAAGGTATTCTAATATATTATAGAATTGTAAATAATCTGTACAAAGGGTTCTCTATTATAGAGAATATTTGACCTACTTTTAACCTAATGGGCTTGACCCAATACAACAAAGGGCTTGGTCCAATACAACAATAAATGACTAAATAAAAACTAAATAATAACTAAATCAATATTATTTACAACAAATTCTAATGAAGTGGGGTAGGAATTATTTATGGGAATATAGTTTTATAAGAGACAAAATATATGAAATTCACTTATTTTTTTATTTTCTTTTTTTTAGTGGGTCATTTATTTATTTATATTGTTGCATAGCTAATTTTACACCTCAAACAATGTGAGAAATTATATTCTCATTATTCATTATGTGAAAGATATTTTGTGTTCATCTAATACAAAACATTCATTTCGGATAAAAAAAATATGTGGTGGCATGATTGAATTTTGTTTTCAAAAATATTTTTTTAATTTTCAGAAAAAAAAAATTATTTCATAAGACCTATTTTTTAAAAATTATAACTATTTTTTAATTTTTAGAATTAAATTTAGAGAACATATTTCAGTTATTTTTATTTTGTATTTTGACATTTGAATTTAAAATAAAAAATATAGAAAACATATATTGTCATTAACTATTTTATAAATAAATAAAATAAAGCAATTCCTTCGGATCTGGATCTTCTCATATGTGAAAATTCACATGATTATGTCATGTGCAAAAAAACATGATCTGGATCCTCTCAAAGGTAATAACAGAGGAAAGAGAAAAAATATTAAAATAGATAGTTACGAAATCATAACTGTTAATTTACCTTTGTATGGTTGTGATCTTCTCACATTATCATATCATGTTTTTTTGCACAATGAGAGAATTCATTTCTATTTCTGGATAGCAGAATTCACAAAGCATGTCATATTTAATATTTTGATTTTCCATCGGGCCATGCAGTTCGGTTTGGAAGCTTGTTTTTCTCCCCCTCTTTGGTAAAAATTGGTCTTTGAACTTTGCAATACCGTCATTGTAAATCAAAACGTCCTAATTAAGATTATTATCTTTTCGTTTACAAAAAATGAAGTTGAATAGTAAGCGTTACGTTAGGATTTAATAAAGAAAGAATAATGAAGATATCAATGTAACTATATTAAATTTTAAATTTCATATTCAATATAAAAATAGTAATTATATAACATTATATATTTTATATAATAATATATACTAGAATGTTCTATTTATTTTTATAGAGTATTATTTGTATTTAATTATTAAATTATATTATCATTAACCTTATTATATTCAACTATATATTGTCATATTTTATTTATAAAATATTTTCCATTTATTTGATTTTTCGATTTTTAATATTACGTATAAATGCTTTTTGATATTTAGATTAGATTATATATATAATTATAAGGTTCACTTTTTCTACAATTATTGTAGATAAGATAAGTTATTTGCAGTAAGCCCAATATGACGTCGTTTTGCTGCGAAAATATAGTGTTTTTGTAATTTTAATTTATTTTAGGGTTATTATAGTCTTTATAATTATAATTTTTTATGTTTTCAATATCAAAACAACGTCGTTTTAGAAATAAATACAGATAACTTATCTGTAATAACTGCAGAAATATTTTTCTCATATAATTTTATGTTCTTTATCAATATTATTATTATTATTATTATTATTATTATTATTATTATCTAGTAAATTAAAGACAGCTCGCTTAGTATTGGTTGATATAATTAGCAGAAAAATATTTTTGCACTTACTTACTGCAGATAAATTATGTGCATTTACTTTCAAAACGACGTCGTTTTGGGATTGAAAGATTAAAAATTATAATTATAAAGATTATAATAATCCTGAAATAAATTAAAATTATAAAAATACCATAATTTTCGTCCTAAAACGACGTCGTATTGAATTTACTACAGATAACTTATCTGCAATAACTGCAGATAACTTATCTGCAATAACTGCAGAAAAAGTGAATTAATTAGTAAGTAAATACACTATTGGTATGAAACTTGTGAAACAGTGTTTGGCCCAAAAATTTGTCAAGTTGGACTTTTGAGTTTTGAGTTATATAATTAAGAAAGAAAAGGTTTACCAAAAAAGAAAAAAAGAAGAAGAAGAGAATAAGAAGGATCTATAGTATATGAAAAGGTTTTCCAAACCAAACCTTTTCAATTGGCCAAGCATGATTGAGAGAGATTGCTCCTCCTTCAGAAACCTTCACCACAGCACTTCTACTTCTATCACCACATGATGATTTTGATGAACCTAACAATGGAAGCCTTTCGATCCGAAGGAATGACGGTGACCTCATGACTTTAAATCTTGCAGCAGAAAGTTCCCTCACTTGCTTCCCCCTACCTGAAATTGATTAATTCTTCATTGATTGACACTGTTGAAATTGAAATTGAAATATATATATATATATCTCTGATCAAGGGAATAGAGAAATTTAACAAGGAAGTAGTAAAAGATTGGTTAGTGTATTTGATTTTAACATATAAAGTAGTACATGCCAGTAATAGCTACGACAGTTGCTGGAGCAATAAGCGTAATTTGAGCCATTGAAGATGCAAAGTTTAGCTTGGACAGCAGAGAGAGAGAGAGAGAGAGAGAGAAAGCAGGACTTAAAGGGTTTAGAAGAGAGAAAGAACAAAGAAGTGAATATGGGCGCTGAATGGGTACAGATTCAAAGGTGACAACGATGTTTTGCTCGTACAATAAACACATGAATGAAATAGCAGATACAGGTCTAGTAAAAAATATGATTTAAGATTAATTAAGAGCTCTTTTACACAGGTGAGTTTATATAAATTTAATATATATTATATAATTATATAATATAAAATCAGGTAACTGATATATTGGATTATAGTAATTATGGGGCCTAGTCTCAAGGCTCTTTGAGTCACATGAGATTTTTATCGCTTTAAATTTTTAATCTAGTATTTGATCCACTGTATTTATTAATGGGGTGATTGAGTGACGGGGACCAGCGACACTAAATGCCGCCCTCCCCCCACGTCATTCACATATTCTTTTTTTTTTTTTTTTCAATTGAATAATGTCCCCTCCTTTGGGGCACTTATAGAATTGTGTCAAGTGACACAATCTCGTTAGTTCCGTTATCGTAAAATTTTGAAAAACCATAACTTTTGACTCGAGTATCAAAATCAGATGATTTTTTTTATTTCACATAACTTTTCGAGATCTGCGCAATGACATTTCATTTGAGATATTTTATCTCTTACAAATATAGTTCGAATTTGTAAAAAAGTGGAACTATTGTTGCAAATTTGAATTATGTTAATGGAAGATAAAATATGTCAAATGAAGTGTCATTGTGTAGATTTCGAAAAGTTACGTGAAATAAATAAAATCATCTGATTTGAATACCCGAATAAAAAATTATGGCTTTTCGAAGTTTTACGGTAACAAGATTAACGAGACTTGGCACAATCCTATGAGTGCCCCATGGAGGGAGCGTCACTCAATTGAAAAAAAAAAAAAGAATGTGAGTGACGCAGAGGGATGGTCACGACACTTAGAGACGCTGGATCTCTTCCCGTCATTAAATGATCCTCATTAATAAATACCGTAAATTAAATATCAGATTGATAAATTAAAGGGTTTTATTACTCTCATTTAACATAAGATAGTTATCTTATGTTGTTGAGAGAAAATAGGTGGGTCCTACCATTACAAGAAAAAAAAAAAGGTAAGATACAAGAATCGAAGTGAAAGAAAATGAGAGATAATATCTCATGTGAAAGGTGAGTAATATTTCCCTAAATTAGAACCTCACAAAATCTCCCATGGATCAAAAAGCCCTATAGTCGATGTATACAAATTTTGAGGAAGAGATTTTCACCAAATACACGTGTTAGGATAAGATTGGTCTAGAGGTGACGTGATGTCCCTTAAGTGGGCCATCTTCATAGATGGATATTCCAATCTAGTACTGTTGCCTATGTTGGTTTACCCTTCTGCCGTGACTTCCAATTCCCTACCTCTTTTTCTTTCCAGAGAAACTGAAAATTTCCTTGTGATTCACTTTTGGCATATCTTTGACATGTGTTATAAGAGTGTGTTTGGTATAGGTTTTATTTTAGGTTTGATGAGAAAGTGTGGGTAGGTATTGGTGTATATCATGTTTGGTACAAGTTATTGAAAAAAAATACTAGACAACTTCGAAGGATAAGAAACATGATTTGTGTTGGTTTTTGGCACAATAACACTATTTCAAAATACACCATGAGATGTGGTATTTTGGATATGGATAGGAAAGTGAAAAATGGTGTAATGAAAATTTTCTACAATAACACTGTTGCAAATATTTCTACAATAACACTGTTGCAAATATTTCTCTGGTAATATTTCAGTCAACCAAACATTTTTTTTTTTAAATTTTTCTATCAAACTTGTTTTCCTACCATTTCTCTAGTAATGACATTTTCTTTCTCCTCTACCAAACACCCTTTCCAGGTTAGATTGATTTATTAATACCGGTTCACAGTATAATTACGTGAACTTCATTTTCATGAATTATAATTTCGATCCACTAGATGTTTTAATTTCATGGCTTTTGTATTATATGTGATGCAATGCGCAATATGTTTTGTTATATAGAGCAAAAACTAGGGGTTTAGGCATAGTTTGGAATTGCAATGGGAGGGGGAATATGCTGAGGTTCATCCCCCGTCTCACCAATTCAAAATTTATACATTTTTCCAAGATTTCTTGGTTTACCCCATGATTTAATCTTTTAAAGGATAATTGTTTCAAATTTGACAGTCACAATTCCTAAGAAGGGTGGAAAAACACAAACTCGAAATCGAATTAGTCGGATTTACTAAAACTTCGGACACTCATTTGTATCTGAAAAAAAATTATACACTTTTAGTCTTGTTTATTAGATTATATCATTGTTTACAATCTTCAACAATTACACTTGACATCTCAGGAAAACGAGTTCATCATTGGATAACATGTCAACCGTGTCATGAGAGAAGGAACGTGAATGTACTATTGATATAGTCATCCCGTCCTGAAATCTTGTCAAGCTAAACTGTTTCTTAAATCTCATAAAGTTTATTTCAAATAAAGGCTATGATAAAATTGCACACCACGAAAATGTTGTATTTTCAATTGTAGTCTAACTAATAAAAGACTTTGGTTTGTTCGCTATATTTTGAATTTTATAATATACGGAGTATGGTTAAAAAAGACTTAGAAATATTCACACTCGATAATGCCTTGCAGTATACATGATTAAATTCGACACCGAAGAGTATATATGAACATAGCGTTACGGTTGATTCAAAATTGTGCTTTGTTCAACATATTCCCAGAATTTGGTGAAGTCTTAGGAAGCAGAACAAGTCAAACTTCAAAGCAGAGTAGACTTTGTTCATATAACATGCATTTACAAAATCATTGCGTGAAGACCGATGAGTTTGGCAAATTAGATATAAGTCGTCAATTTTGAGATCTATTGTTTTCAGTAATTTATTCATTAGTTTCGTTGCTATCAAAATTTCAAGAGATTCATTAGTAACATTAATTTTATCAAGATATTTGTATTATTAATATCACTTAAAGAAGTAAGAAAATGATACTTGAAATTATTTCTATTTTGATGATCGACAGCCTTTAATTACGAAGGACCAATAGCTAGTGGCAACTATAACATAAGCCACACTTCAAATGATTACATAAAATGCGTGATAAAATGTTTATATAAGACCATGTATAATATATTTCTAAGATGATCTAACAGGTAACTCGAGAACCCAAGTTATGTTCATTGATTTAAATGAACTACCAAATTGCCGAATTTCCAGACAAGCAGCATTTCATCCCTTATATAAGGATCCGCATGGAATCATTTATGCCTAGACAAATACTGTTGCATTTACAAAACAGCTCCAGAGAGTAAAACTAAGTTTGCCAGCAAAATATAGCCGATGCCCGATGTCACTTGTGTTAAAGGGAAAAACCATTTACTAAAACGAAACTCAATCTCATTAAATAGCAGATAGAACACGGGCAAAAAACATGCAGTTCATTCACCATCATAAACAAGTAAAAAAAATTCTGTTCGAGAGTACAAAGGACACAAAAATTTAACCTCATAAAGAAGAATGCTACTGCCTTCTAGTCACATAAAACTCTATAGGCACTGAAAGGTAATCAGAATCTGCAAAGATGAAAATTAAAGGCAAAATCAGAATAACGAAAAACATACGCAACTTTCAAGGTCATAAAAAGATCATGTAGCATATAAGGGCATTAGACATTAGTTATTCTCAAATAAACTAATAGTAAACATTTTGCAAACAAAATTGATGTACTTTCAACAAATTTCAAATAGATAATTATTCTATTCGACTGAAACATGTGACAAAAAAGGCAGACAAGACAACAATTACTTCTAGACTGACTTATCACTTCAAATTCCACAACAGCCATGATATTAAGGCCAGCAAATTTTTTTTACCAAACCATTGCTGGCTCCAATCCTAAAAGAAGCCTAGTAACTAACAAGACAACAACAGATAATGCATTGAGAAATTCTTTAAGTAATAATAGAAAGGCCTATGATTACCTCATATGTTGCTTGGATACATAAACACTCTTACCCTTGCTCCCTGCAGATGTATCAAAAACCAGAAAATTACAAACAAAGTATATCTAACAAAAACTATTGATTACTAACTAACTCCAAGCAATTAATTACCATTGATCTGGGTGGCAGGTTTGACTTGAACTTGGCACGTACAATGCCACTGTTACCATGAGGCCTGGTAACCTTACCCCAAATGCAGCGATAGTGGCTTCCGTTGTTCTTTACCTTAGCTTTGTAAATGTATGCCATGCGTTTACCACAATACCATGCAACCTCTTCCTTGGAATTTACTCCTTCAATCTGGATAAGAGAGGTGTTTGGGTATTGATTTGACTTGGACCTGAAAACACACTACCATTTTCTTAGCATAAATCAAACCAAACTATCTGTTCCCATATTCATAATATGCCATAAATTAAAATTGGATTTAATGTTTCTACCGTGAATGAAGATAAGTTATCTACATTCGCTCCTAAAACGACATTGTTGTTTTGAGTTGAAAGATTAAAAAATCATAATGAAAAAAACTATCATAACCCTATAATAAATTATAATTATAAAGATATCTTGATTTCCGCTCCAAAACGATATCGTTTTTGGCTCAGCTTATCTACTTTGACTATGAAACGATTGAAATTAAGATAAACCACAAAAACTCAAAACTGTTGTTAGACACGCTTGAGGAAATCTTCAAAGTCACACAACATTTCACATAAAGTTCGTAGCAAAAAATAAAATAAAATAAAAAATCTGTGAAATTAATTCAAAGTTGAAACAATTACCTCTTGTATCCAAGAATTGAACCCCTGACATAAAGTCTGACATGGAAGAAAAGGAAAGGACAACGTTAGCAAATTATATGCAAAATCTCCACTATATATATGAATAATAGGATGCTGTTTTTGTTAATAAAAACTAAGGGAAAATGGAAGAAGAAAACATTAGACCTAAAACTAATATATAATTATGAAACAATACATAAAATTTCAACACCGCATCATGAATATGCATAAACCAACCAAAACAGTTACTACAAAAATAAAATAAAAATGAAAGCAGTTATATGAGAAACCAACCAACCTGACACGCTCTCCTTGTCGTCCCTTCACCATTTTTTGGTTTGTTTTGTTTGATGCACAACACAACAACCACACACGGCGGAAGCAATCGAATTCGAGGGTTTTAATAGAATGAGGAAATCCTCTTCCCGTTCCTGGACTCGGGTTTTTTTCTTGTTAGATTGGGCCTATGGATCCTTATTCTCTAAGGCCCAGGTAACTGGGCTTTTAAGAAAGAGCAAAACTGTGCGTTTTGGTCAGATTGGGTTTCTCCTTCCTCATACCTTGTTCCCGCATTTAGCATGAGCTTGATCTCTCTCTGATCGTGTGTCATTCCCTCCACTCCATTCAAGCTAAAACGGTGCGTTTCTTTTGGCTGTTGAATTTTGTTGGCAGATCTAGAATTTCGCATCATTCTTAATCGTCTCTTATGCAGCATTGGCTCAATGTTGTTATGTTTTTGTCATTTGAACATGATTTCTTTTCTTTTCTTTTTTCCGATTTATGACTTAAAATGTTTTCTCCTGCATGAGCGAATTGTTTCAACAATGTCTTTAAGTTATTTGTAGATTCTATGCTTAATATTGAATTAAGAAAAAAAAAATTATTTGAATTTTAGTTTACGGGTTTTTAGTAGGTGAATCCATATCTCTTGAAACCAAGTTGCACAGGCATCAATTAATTGGTAAGGGTTGTTTCAATTAATCTAGTGGTGTTTAGTTCCAGTCCTTGGGAATGTAGTTGTGTTAAAACTTGGTATGAATAATTTTGACATCTTTGTTATCAGACTCAAATCGAATTAGTTGAGTAATGTAACTGTTGTTATTTAATTGAAATTAATAATTAATTAGTTGGTGTAACTTAATAAATTATAATTGTGGATGGAATTCGACGTCTAGGAGATAAGAAGTAAGACTTTTAACTCTTACACTGTAATTAACAAAAGAAGTAAGACTTCTAAGTAGCTACACATATATATATGGGATCTATTAATCTCATGTTGCATATATCATGCAACAGAGACAAAATAGTGGGGTTCATCATTTGTAAAAAAAGAAAAAGAAAAAATAATATGGACCCCACTACTTTGTTTCTGTTGTCTCATGCAACATGAGATAATTATTTATATATATATATAACACTGATAAACTGTTATGTGATAGGGTTGGATTTCTATGCAATGCAGGGAAAGGGAAATGGGTTTGTGGACTTTACTAGAGGGGTTACTTCTTCTTGCAAATGGACTAGCAATATTAAATGAGGACCGTTTTCTTGCACCAAGAGGATGGGGCTTCTCGGATTTCTCAGTTGGAAGGACAAAATCGTTCAAAGGCCAGCTTATAGGTCTCATTTATGCAACTCAGTATATGAGAGTTCCTCTCATACTTCTCAATTCCATCTTCATTATTGTAAAGTTGGTGTCTGGATGATGCCTAACAAGTAACAAGGTGACATGTCAATTCCAAACATTTTGTTTTATTAACTATATGATTATAATTGTTTTTTTTTAAAAAAAAAAAACTTAATTACAACAAATATCTGTTATCATGGGAGTGCCTTGAGCTTTTCATATGTTTCAATAAAGAAAAAAATAAAAATAAAATGGAATTATATGATGATTTTTAAGATAGAATCTTTATTTTCCTTAAAGTGGTGTTTGAGGCATTCTAACAAGTATTTTTCTGATATCGTAATAGCATTTGCTTTTGACTTCATACATATGTGTACATGAGCTGAATTTAGTTCATGATTCTGATTGTTGTACATCAGTATGAATGAAGTGACTGCTGGAATATGGTTTGTTTTGGAATCGTGGCACCGAAACTGGAACCAGCCAACATTGATAATATTAAACTAAGCATGTAGTTCAATGGAGAATTCAAGCTATAGTCAGCAAACCTTAGTAGCTACCTATTATCTTTGTCTCTTCTCTTCTTTTCTCTTACAAAGTTTAGAGAGTATAGAGTTCTATTTTCTTTTTTAGGGATAGGATAGTGAAAATAGCATGGCCATTTACATTACATTAGCTTGTCGAGTTTTTTTGGTACAGACATCTGTTTCTTTAATGATTGCAGGTTCAGGAATTTTTATCCCTTGATTTCAGGAAGGTCTCTAAGGTAGGCAAGTTTGCCAAATTCTATTGTAGAAATATCCATTCAAGCGTTTGTCCTTTTTTTTTTGGGGGGGGGAGGGTGATATTGATCCATTGATATTATTTATTGCTGCAAAATCGTGAGTGACTTAAGTTCGGTTTGTATTCCATTTTTTGAGTACTGATTATCATATCTCATATTCCTTACAGTAAATTCTCATTTTATTTTCGATTGCTTCTTGCTTACTTTAATTTTGCTAGAGTAAATTCGTGAGCGATATGGTCAATTTCTTAATTAGCGCCTAATCCGTGTGTTCACTGCCACGAGTCACCAATAAATATTGACCAATAGTGGAAAATCTATATAACAAAATACATCATCAACACAATCCTATTCCTTATTATTTTTTTGAATGAAAGCATATGAAACACATCCTTCTTCTTTAACAAGAATACTACAACTCCCCAGTTGATATACTAGGTCTAACGAATTGCTTTTCGAGCAACTCTTCTTCTAATTGTTTCTTGAGCTTCTCCAGTTCTCGAGGAAAACACCTGGAGATTGGTCCCATTTCAGGAAGTAGAAACACCTGGCATTACAATTGCCGAAAGAATAGAATGAATTTTATCACAAATCAGCAAAAAGATGGTATGTTTTGGAGTCTACAGCAATAAGCCGTAGGGCTGCAATTGTTGCTGCAATAGACATGATGCCAAAGAAAATAATGTTGAGCCAGTGCCAGAGCTTCTGAAAGGAATTTAGTTTGTTCTTCTTTGCCACTAGGTACATATGGTTTGCAAGAATAAATGTAAGGGGAAATGTGCTGATAGCTCCTGTGAGGCTCATGAAATCTCCAAGGAATGGCAGGAGAGCCGACACAAATGTATTAAAGACCAGGTAGCCACCTCTGACCATAATCCGAAATGACAAGTTCTTAACATTCAGTGCGCTTCCTTTGATCCCATATTTAGTATCCAAGAATTCATACATTGGACTTGCAAATATCTAATAGAAGCAGAATAGGGATTATTAGGCCAGCGAAACAATTTGAGTAAAATATTTAAGAATGAGGATTGATACGTTTACAAACTTTTTTTACAAATTACATTAAGTATGACCGGTCATATACTCTTGATTGAAGTATGACTGGTCATACTTAGTATAGTTTGTAAACAAAAAGTTTGTAAATATAACCTTCTCCTTTAAGAATAGCAGAAGTTCTAGTTTAGATGTAAGTACATGCAATGCAATGACTGATTGTAGAAAGGCTGTAATATTGGCCAAAGCCTTGACCCAGACTGGACCATTCACACTATTCAGCAAATAGGTTGATGTTGAATTTCCATAAGCCCAGTACCCTGTAAAGGTAACCAGGTACAATGGTAGAACTCCAACGGTAAACTGAAAGTACAGGGCTTTCATCATGTTCTTCACCACTGGCTGCCTAATCGTTGCCTGTCAGTTATTCAACCAAATAAATGAAAAAGAATTATGTATCAACGACAACTTAAAACTCAAGATATGAAAATTTATAAGCTTCTATCTTACCTGTATCTCAGGAAGCATGCCAGTATTATATGCGAACACGAGATTAGCAGACGCCCCAATTATTGTAAATATTTTACTTACACCATCTCCTGGAATACTGTAATCTCGAGGTGGTGATTTTATTCCTGATCATGTACTGGTGGTTAGTGCATAGTCACATTGGAAATGTATTATTAACTCAAGTCAAACAATATATATTCAACTTAACAAAGTAAGGATAATGAAAACAGAAAACCAAGCATTGAATCATTTGCACATAACTTTCTTCAAACCATAATGCAGGCCAATTTCTAGTATGCATGTCCATTTCAGATGACGTATTTGATAAGTGCCCAGAGAAAAAGTGGATCGATGAGGACAGTTGGTTTAAAGAACTGGTGTTACTTATCAACAAGTTATTGTATGATTAATGTGCAGGCACAGCACAGACATAACAGACATGAGATCTTACCATCTTTAAGCGACAGGCAAAATGCTATAACAATATATGCTAGGCTGAAGACTGTTGAAAATCCCAGCCAAGTTCCAAGAGCTGAAAGATGAGGAATACAGATAGCAAACATTCCACACACAAATCCAGCTATGGCAATAAAATATGGAAGCTTCATCTGATGATCATCCCTGAATAGAACATAAGTAGCCTGCACCACAATGAACGGAAAAATGGTTTGAAACAAAAAAAAATCTTAAACAGACAATCTGAATAAATAGATTCTACAATATTGCACAAAACCAAAACAGAAAAATGAAATCACTTATAGAATAATTTGTAGATGATTTCAAAAGTCTATCACTTAAGAAAGAAGTCATTAAGGAGAAGAATGCAATTGGTTCTTAAATTTCTCTTACTTTCAAGGCTGAACCGGCCAAAATGATGTAGCCAGTATTTATCATGAAAAGATTGGCATACTGCAGAGCCCATGTGAGAGAATATGCTTTCCTACCTGCAATGAGAATGAAATTAACATATGAACATGACAGAGAGAAGAGAGGAAACTAGCTATTTTTTATTTTTTCACTTTGTGTTATCCCTGATTTTTGTTGGCCTTACCGTATATATATCCAGCAAGATCTCTATATCTAATGTGCCTTGTCCCTCCAAATTCATGGAGCTTAGCAACAAGAGCATTTGCATAGAGTGATATTACGGTAGCAAGAATTAGACCAACTACACCCCCAATCCAACCCAGGGGAACCATGACGGTCCCTGAATATCCAAGCACATAAGCGCTGTTGATTCCAGTGGTGAGGATAAAAGCCACTTGAAACCATGAATCTGCCAAGGAAAAAAAAAAAAAAAGAACGTACAAAATTGTCAGTAAATCAAAGAAGGATATTAAACGGGTCAACCAAAAGTCAAGAGGGGAAAGGTCAAACAATAAACTATCTTCAATAGGCAGATAATTCCAACGGAAAATCATTGTTAATTTCCCATTTCTCTAAGCTCCACTTATTCAGTCACAAATGGTACATTTATTTCATTTTCATTTCAAATTTCTAAAATTTATATCATAATATATAGTAAATGGTAACATCAAGCACAATTCAATTATAATCATCAAAAGAAAAACGAAATAAAATGATAAATCGAACATCCATAAGAGACAGGTTGAGGAAAGTCAAATCTCAGACTAAAAAAATCAAAATCAAAGGCGCAAGTCGTAACATTGACTCTAACGTAGACAACAGGTAAATAAATACAAAAGGGTCATTTTAAAAATTCATAGATTCGCCGGTGCCTGTTACAAGCCACAAAAACAAAAACAAAAAATGGAGCAGAAATTGTATGATGTTTGTGTTTCTGTTCCCATGTTTTCCGTAAACATGGGAATTTTCGAAATTGTATATAATGTGAACGCAAATGGTAAATGTAAGAAAGAAAACGAACCGCTGCTAATCTGATGTGCGGTATCTGGGACTCCAACATCCTCGGCATCCTCGTGATGGACCTTGTTTAAATCATGTTCAGCGTTTTCTTTTCCCATTATTTGATGTTGTTGTTGTTGTTAAGCACCGTCACACAGCACCGTAACGATAAGTTGCTCTGATGTTGATTAATACAATTTCCAAAATATCGTGAACGGAGCTTCAAACCCCTTCCTTTATATATATATAAAAACTCTCTTGGCTATTCAATTGAAACTCAGTGAATAAGAACCAGCCAATCACAGTTCCCGTTTTAGAATCATTTTATGAAAAAGAAAAAAAAAACGGTAAATACGAAATTCTTTTATTTCTCATTTCAATCATTTTCCTTTCCTTTTAATTATTTTTTGTAGCGTGTGAGGCCAGTCCTGTACCGACACACAATTTGCGCTCCACGTTTATTGAGTGCCACCAAAGCTCGTCCCATCATCCTCAGTTTCACTCAAAGTGAACAAGATAAGACTGTATCTTAAATCAAGATTTTTATTGTTTTTAGAATTAAAAAAAACAGATAGAATCTTGTGATATCAATATCAAATTTGAAATTTGATATTTCATCTGATAGTGATTAGATCAAAAAAAATCAACGACTCTGATTTGTAAGCATGTGACATCATTGGTTTTTTTAATTTAACGGCTATCAAATGAGATGTCAAACTTCAAATTTGTCACTATTGTCAAAATATCGTACTTCAAATTTAATGTCTGTTATTAACATTTTTGTTCATTTGATATCCATTTTTGTCATTTGATTGGGTGATTTTTTGGGGGAGAATATTGTTAAATGATATTTCTTTAATTATTATATTTTTAATTTTTAACTAATATAGTATACACTTAATTATATAAAATAAATGAAATTTTTAATTCCAAAAATGCTTTAAAACATCTTTTAAAATATCTTTAAAATGTTATCAAATTAATTAGTGAGAAATAATGATATCAAAATCGCATAGAAATTCTGGTTAAATAGAAAGTTAGGATTTTCACAAAAGAGTAATCTTTTGGTTCTCAGTTTTTATTACCAAAATAACAAAATTCATCTCCCATGAAAAGGGTTATAAACACCTTTTTTATGAATTCAAAATTCAAAATTAACAATCCTAAAAATAATAAAATTTTCTAAAATAAATATAACAGTAATTAACTTCTAAGAATAAATAAATAATTATAATTAAATCTTCAAAACACATTTTAAATCTTAGAACTCAAATTGTACCAAATTTGTTTCTTTCCTTTTTTGCTGTTTCATTTGGATTTGGATTGGATTGTAATTTGCTATATTTCAAGTTACTGCTCCTTTTAACAATTGAGCTATACTTATTGAGGCACAATTCTTGTTGACTCTGAACTTTTTGAATTAATGTTTAAGCCATATACAATTAGTCAACCGTAAGTGCATAAATGTATGTATATATATATGGGCTTTACATCTCTCATTTAACATGAGGTTAGAAAATCGGGCTTTTTCACCATTTTGCCCCTCATTAATTAATTAATAACCATTTTGCCCCTAATTCGAAACTATCTACCAATCTGCCCCTCTTTAATCGACTAACTTGAATTTTTAATCGACTACATGGTTGTTGGGAGATTTAATCGACTAAATCTCCCTACTTAATCGATTATAAAATCATACTGACTTGTTTTCCTTTGTTGTCTGTTGGGAGATTTAGTCGACTAAATAGGGAGATTTAGTCGATTAAATCTCCCAACAGCTATTTTTGCCTGTTTTGACCATTTAATCGACTAAAAATGCAAGGTAGTTGATTAAAGAGGGGCAGATTGGTAGATAGTTTCGAATCAGGGGCAAAATGGTTATTAATTAATTAATAAGGGGCAAAAGGGTGAAAAAGCCTAGAAAATCTCCTACACACATAATTTTAATGGGTCCCACCATAAACAAAAAACAAAACAAAAAAAATATTACACGCAAAACGAACTCTCTCTGACATGAGAAAACGAACTCTCACTGACATGAGAAAACAACTCTCCTGTTAAAGGAGAAATTGATTTACGTATATATATATATATATATATATATATAATATATGAGAAAAATATTTCTCAAACTGCTTGAGATATATTTATCTCCGATCACCCTAAAACTACGTCGTTTTGTTTATTTATTTCCTTATATTAATTGATTCACCTTTGAATGATTATGATTCCTGTTTTCTCTCTCTTCCTTTATCACCGTTGATCTATCTCTGTACGGTTATGATTTAGTAGCCGAAGGTAAAATTATCTAAAGTAACTTGAAAAACGATAAGCCCATATATATATATATATATATATAGATATATATAGGGCTTATCATTTCTCAAGCTGTCAGATATAACTTTATCTCCGACTACTAAATCATAACCGTACAAAGATGGATCAATGGTTATAAAGGAAGAGAGTGAAAAGGGAATCATAACCATTCAACGATGAATCAATTAATATAAGAAACTAAATAAACAAAATGATGTAGTTTTGGGGTGGCCGGAGATAAACTTATCTCAAGTTCCCGAAGAAATATTTTTCTATATATATATATGGGTTTTTTTTTTTTTTTTAATACAATGAGTTTGTTTTTTCTGATGTTACTTTAGATAATTTTATCTAATATTCATCAAAACGACGTCGTTTTGGGACGGAAATCATGGTATTTTTGTAATTTTAATTTATTTCAGGGTTATAATAGTCTTTATCACTCTAATTTTTTAATTTTTCAATCCCAAAACGACGTCGTTTCGATGAACATTAGATAAAGTTATCTAAAGTAACATCGGAAACTTTTTTCCCTATATATATATAGAGGAAGGTTATAGTTATAACCTTTTTTTTTACAACCTTTTACAACCATATCTTAACACCGTTGATTTTCGCCAATCAACGGTTATTGCTTATTGTGAATTAATACTTAATTAATGAGTTTAATTTGCGAAAATCATAACTCTTGATTGGCGGGAATCAACGGTGTTAAGATATGGTTGTAAGAGGTTGTAAAAAAAAAGATTGTAACTATAACCTACCTCATATATATATATATATATATATATATATATATATATATATATATATATATATATATATATATATATATATTGATTAATTAGAAGTTCCGGTTGAAGAGTGTTCGGGTGCAATAACAATCGGGTTGAGCTGAACTCGTAAACTCCCTTCTTATTGACCCAAAGTCTCCTAATTACATGAGCTCAGGGGATGTTTGATAGGATTTTTTTAGATACCCAAAAAAGTGAGTGTGGGTTTCCAAAAAATCATGTTTGGTATCACATCTTAGAAAATTTATTCTGAAAAGTAATTTGTCTGGAAATTCATTTTGTGTATTATGAATGAAAATTCTATCCAAGAATACCACCCGGGTCGATATTCTTGAATTACTGGGAAAATAGAAAAAAGTAAATGAAAAAATTGACAAGAATTAAGAAACTTATCCAATATTTTTGATATTATTTTTTACCTACCAAATATCTTTTTTGTAACATTTCCGAAAAAATCATTTTTTCATCATATTTTGCAGGAATCATGATTTTCGGATTGCCTTTGAACTTCTCATTTGTCAATTTAAATATTATTTATATAGCATGTTTTAAACTACTTTTTTTTTTTTTTTTTTTTTCAAAATATTTCTATAAATCACATGTTTAAAAGGCCTGAGTTTGTCAAATATACATAGTGCTCGCTCACATTTCTTACATTTTTGGTCCGAAGGAAATTATCCAATAGATCACTCCCATAAATTGCTTACACGTTAATGTCATATCTAACAAGTTATTTTATAATGTGCACATTCTACTTTTACATTTCAAATTTTTTTTTCATAACAACTGTAAATTTAAATGCTTAATCTCCTTACCTAAACTCGGATAGGTTAGAACCCATTTTTATTCCAGAAGGATATCGTGACAACTAAGTTGTGTTACTACCAAGTGACTACCAATCAATCTCACCGTTAGATCGATTATGTTGATCCAACGGTTATATTTATTTCTATCTTTTTATGGTCATGATTTCTCAAATTTAATACTTTATATTTATTTTCACCTTTGTATAGTTATGATTTCTCATATTTAATTCTTTCACTTTAAATATGAGGAATCATGACCATACAAAGATGGAAATAAATATAACCGTTGAATCAACATAATCGATCTAACAGTGAGATTGATTAGTAGTAACACAACTTGATTGTCACGATATCTTTTCCCTTTATTCCAATGTGTACTTTTTTGACTACGTTGGATTGCAAGCCTCCGATTAGGCTAGAGAATAAAACAACCTAAAATATTATGCTTGTTGTCTTGGAAAAGATGAGAAATTTGAGGAGCACAAACTACTCGTACGATGGAAAATGATTTGCCAAAGCAAAAGTGCGGGGATCAACAATTTAAGTATGGCTTTTAATGGCACCACCGTTCTTCCTCTCTTTTTACTTTTCATTCCCTTTATTTTGTTGTTATCTTTTCTTTCTTTTAGCTAAAGCTCTTTTCTTTTTATATTGAAATGATATTTATATATTATTATGCTCATAAATTATTATACTCGTTCAGTGAAAACGGGATTAGTTGAGTAAAGAAGGTATCGAGTATCCACTAAATTTTTAAGTGATTGATTGATCTATTATGATATAGCTGCTTTGGTGGTGGTGGTGTGCATTGCCGCAAGTGATTCCTAATGAAGGGCTGGTCCTCACTTCCTATTGGATATTGTTAAATATTTAAGTACTAGTCAGATATTTTCTCAAGTTTCTATTGGTTTTGGGTGACTACCTATACTCACTTGAAACTAAAGACACCTTGTTCTTGACGCTTAGCATTCTTTTCCTTTGGGAATTTCTTTATATGAAAATGACACATTTTTCACTATACAACAAATTAAAAAAAGTGGAAAAGATTCTAAGAAGATTTTATAAAGAGGGTGTGGACAAAGATTTTTAAGAGAGTGATATCATTTCGAATTCAAAGTGTCGGATACAATTGTGACCACATTATTATC